AACTTTCGGTTACCAATGTAAATAATCTTTGTGTTTTAAAATCGGCTTTAAAATCTAGAAAAGAAACGGTTCTAAACATGGTGATTGATGAAAACCATTTATCTCTCATGTCGGCAAAGACATTATAAGCTAATAGCCCCATGAGAAAAAAAAAATAATATAACGCTACATGCTGCAGATATTGATGATGTTGCTGTTCTATAAATACAAAATATATTTTGTATTTATAGAAAATTATAAAGTAAGTAATTTTCCCAAGTCGCCAATATACGCGCAACGCGCAAAAGTACAAGTATAGTGAGTATACGAAGTACAGTAAGTATATAGATACAAAGATACAGTGTCAACTACTGTAAATTATTTTAACCTGTAAATAACAGGTGTAAAAAAGTGGTACAATAGGGCTCCAAACGACGATCCACTTAAAAAAAATCGAACGCGCCATAAGTGGAACCTCAAAGGTGGTGCGGAAGACTACTACTTATTAATAATACTAATAAAATTACTAATCTTACATCTATTTGACTGCATTTTTAATATGTTACTGTGTTCCTCCACTAATCTCCACAGTACATGTATATGTAGTTACTGCAGTAACTCTTGCTAATATGCAGTAGTTTAAAATAAATAATTAAAAGCTTTGCAGGTGTATAATCTTTCATGTTGACAAATGTAAAATAGCAAGCATGGCTAAACGAGTAAGGCAAATGGCAAGAATATTAAAAATCTCGTGTTTAAAAAACTGTGATTTTGTAACTTTTTTCCTTTTTCGATATTTGTTTTATATAAATTATTAGATAATGTTATTAGCTAAAAGAAATTATTTTATCTTTATTAAAAATATTCGCATATATTAAATTAGCACTTTGTTGCAACATTGTAAAATAACTTTTCATTTTTCTATTAACAATAGCAGATCTGTATTATTTCTAAAATTGTTAGTTTAACATATGCAAATATTATTAATAAATAGAAAATATTATTTTTTTGGGCAAAAAAATATTATCTGATGATTTACTATGTTAGAAACAAATGCGGAAAAAAGAAAAGAAAGTTGCACGAAGCAGGTCTCGAACCAAGATCTATAGAGAGAAGGTTACCTCAGGAAAACCAATTGTGGGCGAGGGACGATGAAGTAAAGGGGGAGCTAGAAACAGCTTGGAGGCGAGGGGCGATGAAGGAAGGGGAGAGCATGATGATCTCATCGACAAACAGTAGCTGTCTCTCTCTTTCAAAGTTCTTCCTTTTCTAACTGTTTCTAACTCTGTCACTCGCTTGCATTTATTCTCCAAAGAACTTATGTACGCATTAAATTTTATAATACTGCCAAAAAAAATCGCAAGCACGTAGGTAATAAGAGGAAAGCTGAAGATAATCAAAAAAGAAGTACGCCAATAAATATAAAAAAATT